TCATTGCACTGAATACTGGCTTTGGCTTAAAGGGACGCAGAGTGAAGGGGTTAACTAGTAAGCGAGACAGAGTGCAGAGGATGGGAGCAGGCGATGCAGAGGTCGGTAGTAGTAGATGACACAGAGCTGAGGGGTTCATAGCTATGTGAGCAATTAATGGGAAAAAGAAATAGCAAGGGGGACAGGGATTGTAAAAACGTGAGCTATGGCAAACAATAAGTCATTTTAATGTGTCAGCAGGATAAAAGTCAGATGAGATGTGCCAAAGGTTTACCACCTGTCCTCTCCACACAAAATTAAAATGGCCAGTGTAGTAGTGGAGCAGCAGCAATTGAAAACAAACAAGTAGCTAACTATTTCAAAAAAGTTCCCAGAAGCTCAACCGTAATTCCACCAACTGTCACCTGATTGTAGTTTTCTCAATCACAGTGAAATCCCTTCTTTCTGAGATTGGTAGTGGCAACCAAGCAAGTCCTCTTCCTCTAGATGGTGGTCAGGGCTAGCAGGACTTGTGATTGGCTTTGGCAGTGGCCAATCATAGTCCTCATCCTTCTGGAAACAGGGACCACCCTCCTAGAAGAACTGCACCCAATCTCTTCTCCCATCACAAAAGCTGCATGGATCGTTGCTGCGGCTGCAAATGACGATCACAGCTACAGCAAAGATAGAGAACCAAACAAATGTTTCCCGTCTTGTACGATGTGTGGGGGCACTGCGCCGCCTCCTTCTGAGATCAGAATGCATTATTAGTGTGGCAGGGGCTGTGTCTCGGTGACAATTCCCTGTGCTGCTCTGTTGATGTGGAGGGAGTCGTGTGCCAGCAAAAGAGGCTTTGCGTGCCCAGGATTGCCTGCCTTTGTTATAGGGCCAACTGTGTTCTCTAGCAGACCAATTTAGAAAAGGTCAAATATATAGAAAAATGCTATAGCATCACTCTATATGAATTGTGTTTTGAGTAAATATTCTGTGTTTTCTATCCCCCACTTATGATGCTTTTACATACATTCCTACCATATGGATCACATAGTGCTTGTTTTTTTTTTTTTTTTTTTTTTTTTTTTTTGCCTTAATGCATTCTCTGCATTAAAGTGATACTAAAGTATTGTGTTTTTTTTATTCTTTTTTAAATGTGCTTTGCCTCATGCAATGTGCCCTGTCCCATGTAATGTGCCCTGTGTCCGTTGTAATGTTTCCTGTGCTCTGTCCCATGTAATGTGCCCTGTGTCCGTTGTAATGTTTCCTGTGCTCTGTCCCATGTATTGTGCCATGTGTCCGTTGTAATGTTTCCTGTGCTCTGTCCCATGTATTGTGCCATGTGTCTGTTGTAATGTTTCCTGTGCTCTGTCCCATGTATTGTGCCATGTGTCCGTTGTAATGTTTCCTGTGCTCTGTCCCATGTAATGTGCCTTGCCCTTATGTGCCCTGCCCTGCTCTTGTGTAAGGTGCCCTGCCTCAATGTAATGTGCTCTTTTCCCACATAACGTGCCCTGCCTCCATGTAATGTGCCCTGCTACCACATAACGTGCCCTGCCTCCATGTAATGTGCCCTGCTACCACATAACATGCCCTGCCTCCATGTAATGTGCCCTGCTCCCCAAATAATGTGCCCTGCCCTCCATGTAATGTGCCCTGCCTCCATGTAACGTGCCCTGCCTCCATGTAACGTGCCCTGCCTCCATGTAATGTGCCCTGCCTCCACGTAACGTGCCCTGCCTCCACGTAACATGTAATGTGCCCTGCCTCCACGTAACGTGCCCCCTGCCCCTCCACATAACGTGCCCTGCCTCCACTGCTTCCACATAACGTGCCCTGCCTCCACGTAATGTGCCCTGCCTCCATGTAACGTGCCCTGCCTCCATGTAATGTGCCCTGCCTCCATGTAATGTGCCCTGCCTCCACGTAACGTGCCTTGCCTGCCTCCATGTAACAAATAATGTGCCCTGCCTCCATGTAGTGTGCCCTGCTCCCAAATAATGTGCCCTGCCTCCATGTAATGTGCCCTGCTTCCACATAACGTGCCCTGCCTCCATGTAATGTGCCCTGCTCCCAAATAATGTGCCCTGCCTCCATGTAATACCACATAACCTGCTAATGTGCCCTGCTCCCACATAATGTGCCCTGCCCTCCATGTAATGTGCCCTGCTCCCACATAACGTGCCTTGCCTCCATGTAATGTGCCTTGCCTCCATGTAATGTGCCCTGCTACCACATAACGTGCCTTGCCTCCATGTAATGTGCCCTGCTCCCACATAACGTGCCCTGCCTCCATGTAATGTTCTCTGCTCCCACATAATGTGCCCTGCCTCCATGTAATGTGCCCTGTTCACACATAACGTGCCTTGCCTCCATGTAATGTGCTCTGTTACCACATAATGTGCCCTGCCTCCATGTAATGTGCCCTGCCTCCATGTAATGTGCCCTGCTTCCATGTAAATGTGCCCTGCTTCCCCCTCATGCAGTGTGCCCTCCTGAGCCCCTCTACCCTATCCTGCTGCCCCCCTACACATTATTTGGACCCAGAATGGAGCACTTCTGCAAAAAAAGAAAGCACAAGTTTTGTATTAAATAGGTACATTTTAATATTTTATTCTTTTATTTAATACTCTTTCTGAAAATAATTGTTATTATCAACAGATCGCTGATCATACCGATGTTTTGTGAGCTGTAGATGTGTACATTATTTCAGGGGTTCTCCAAGATCCCAAACTTTTTGCCAGGGGTTCCTCGAAGGTATAAAGGTTGAGAAACACGTGCCTAACACATTACCCCAGTTCTGAGGGAAAAGGGTACCTTTAACGCTCTTATGCTCAGGCAGCATTAAGAGCCCTGTCATTCTTGCATAACCCTTCTGGAGCTTCGCCTGCCAGCCAATGAGCAGTGGCGTTGCATTTGCGCACGTTACCCTTCCCATCCACAGGACTGTATTATCAGTGCTGGGCCTACAAGCAGGGGCGTCCACAGGACAGCGTTATCAGTGCGGCAGATGAGGGGTTTGTGGAGTCACAACAGTGCGGCAGTTGGCATCTCGGCCTGGGGATTGTATGTACTGTATTTGCTCTGTCAGCTGTGAGACGCTGCAAACCTGCAATTGTCTTCTTCCACCCTTGATCCACCCCCCCCCCCCCCCCACCCCAGCCATCATGGGCACCTTCCTTGTGAACAATTTACAGACTTATTCTGGTTAAGGCCAGACATCAAGCACTCCATATGTTTTGGTTGCTGGCTGCCAAAATCTCTCTGTTTCTAGATAGTGTCGGACACACGCACTCAATATTCTTTCACTCCACACAGCATCAAGGAAGCATCTCCCTGCTGCTGCATCTGCTGCAAGGAGACACATGGAACTTTGATCTTTAATCCATGTCTGCTGCCTGCTTACAGTGATATTGGCCACCTTAACCTCTGATTACGAAACTATTCACTAGCTACTTACCTGTCCAGGTTTTGTGAGTACTCAAAGCCTTACCTTTTACCCAGAGCCTGTGAATTGCTTACTGCACTGTGGCTACAACATGTCTGATTCTATTCTTTGCGGGGGAAGGGGAAATGCAGTCCCACTGTACTGCCCAGCATGCCCTGCATTAATGGGTTTGGGTACTGCTTGCACCACACCCCGGATAGTAGCGATGTCTGTAGCCTGGAATCATACTGCCCTCTCAGTATGGAGTCTCTTCCCTCATCTTGTTTGGTGTGGCTGAGTCCTTTGCCTTTTCAGAGTCTTTTACCACAGTCATACAGGATTTCATAACCCTAATACCCAATTGTTTTTTAGATTTTAATTGCAGAGGCTGTAAGCTTTTTACCAGGCCCTCCAGCCTATGTAATATCTGATTTTCTTGTGGCCTTGGTGACTCCTGAACCACAGGCTGCTGATACTGTGTCTAATTCTAAATCAATTAAATCTTTGACTGAGGAGCTTTCCTCTAAGGATTTGCTGTCCACTGCTATCACTGCTAATGCTGGCCATAGACGAGATGTTTATCAGCCGAATTGTTGGCCGATAAAGGAAAAATCAGTCAATGCTGCCACCAATGCTTACGAAAAACAGACTTTTTTTGTAGATTTTCCAGCATGACCGATAAAAAGAGATGAGAAGAACTGCGAAAATCAGCCGACTACATTGCCCCACTAACGGTGTGAATATCGGCCGATTTATTTGTTCGGCTGACACTTCGGCCGTTAAACGTCCTGTCTATGGCTTGCATAAGTTAAAGGAGACTTTCAGCTTTTATTGGGGTACACACCACTCTGAAGCTAGAGGATCAGCACAACATACAAAGCCATCCACAACTCTGCACCGAGCTACATCACCAGCCTTTCTCAAAATAAAAACCAAATCATCTCCTTTGCTCCTCCCGAGACCTCCTGCTCTCTAGCTGCTTTGTCTTTTCTTTTCATGCTTGCTTCTAGGACTTTTGCCAAGCCTCTCTCATCCTTTGGTGCTCTCTACCCCAATCTGTTCAGATTTCTCCTACTCTGTCCACCATTAGGCAATCCATAAAAACTCATCTGTTCAGAGAAGCCTGTTCCACCTCCACCTTAAAACTGTACTTCTAATTTCTCCATCAACTCATCCCTACACAGTTATTACCTTTTTATATCACGTTCACGTATTACATTGTAAGCTGCCATGAGAAGGGCCCTCCTAATCCTCTTGTCTTTAATTTTATTCTGTATGTAATGTTTTTTATATTTTAGAGTGCTGCACAAACTGTTGGTGCTACATAAATCCTGTAATATAATAATGGATCTTATTGCTAACACTTTGAAAGAGACACGTTCAGCCCCACATTGACACAAAGTAGTTTTCTGTGAGGATCCTATGTACAACACTGAAGAAATGACACTTTGCTACAATGTGACGTATTGAGTGTACAGCCTGTATAACATGTAAATTTGCTGTCCCTCAAAATATCTCCACACAGCCATTAATGTCTGAACCGCTGGCAACAAAAGTGAGTACACCCCTAAGTGGCAATGTCCAAATTGGGCCCAAAGTGTCAATATTTTGTGTGGCCGCCATTATTTTCCAGCACTGCCTTAACCCTCTTGGGCATGGAGTTCACCAGAGCTTCACAGGTTGCCACTGGAGTCCTCTTCCACTCCTCCATGACGACATCACAGAGCTGGTGGATGTTAGAGACCTTGCACTCCTCCACCTTCTGTTTAAGGATGCCCCACAGATGCTCAATATCGTTTAGGACTGGAGACATGCTTGGTCAGTCCATCAACTTTACCCTCAGCTTCTTTAGCAAGGCAGTGGTCGTCTTGGAGGTGTGTTTGGGGTCGTTATGTTGGAATACTGCCCTGCGACCCAGTCTCTGAAGGGAGGGGATCATGCTCTGCTTCAGTACTTCACCGTACATGTTGGCATTCATGGTTCCCTCAATAAGTTGTAGCTCCCCAGTGCCAGCAGCACTCATGCAGCCCAGACCATGACACTCCCACCATCATGCTTGACTGTAGGCAAGACACACTTGTGTTTGTACTCCTCACCTGGTTGCCGCCACACATGCTTGACACCATCTGAACCAAATCAGTTTATGTTGGTCTCATCAGACCACAGGACATGGTTCCAGTAATCCATGTCCTTAGTCTGTTTGTCTTCAGCAAACTGAGGGTTTCCTTGTGTATCATCTTTAGAAGAGGCTTCCTTCTGGGACGACAGCCATGTAGACCAATTTGATGCAGTGTGCGGCGTATGGTCTGAGCACTGACAGGCTGACCCCCCACCCCTTCAATCTCTGCAGGAATGCTGACAGCACTCATAGGTCTATTTCCCAAAGACAACCTCTGGATATGACACCGTGCACTCAACTTCCTTGGTCGACCAGTTTCAGGGTCTTGGCAATCTTCTTATAGCCTAGGCCATCTTTATGTAGAGCAACAATTCTTTTTTTTTTTTTTTTTTTTTTAGATCATCAGAGACTTCTTTGCCATGAGGTGCCATGTTGAACTTCCAGTGACCAGTATGAGAAAGTGAGAGCGATAACACCAAATTTATCACACCTGCTCTCCATTCACACCTGATGCCTTGTAATACTAACAAGTTATATGACACCAGGGAGGGAAAATTATTAATTGGCCCTAATTTGGACATTTTCACTTAGGGGTGTACTCACTTTTGTTGCCAGACTTTTAGACAATAATGGCTGTGTGTCGAGTTATTTTGAGGGGACAGTAAATTTACACTGTTATACAAGCTGTACAATCAATACTTTACATTGTAGCAAAGTGTCGTTTCTTCAGTGTTGTCACATGAAAAGATAGAATAAAATATTTACAAAAATGTGAGGGGTGTACTCACTTCTGTGAGATACTGTATATATAAAACATTAATCATTTTCTTTTACCATCTCATACTAAATCTTAACTATCAGCAATAGCATTTGTATGTTAAACTTTACAATATGGGTGGCAAGTTGTCTGTGCCAAGTACAATCCTTTTAATGTAGGGCCAGAGATGGAGATGGGCATAATAAGCGACTCTGTAGGAGAATGTTATGATTGTATGCTGAGCTGCTCTCTATAAAACTTGACGTAGCGTGCCTGTGAAATGTAGGCCTCCTACCTCCCAGCTTGTTAGGAATACCCCTATTTAGGATCATTATTTCTAGCGATGACTAATGTTAGCATTTTATTATATAATAGTCAGCCTTCGGTTCCCCATAGTTGTGTATTACTGGTATGTGTGGCGTACTGGATTCCTCATCCCTTCCGTCACAGTGCAGTGATCTTATTATTCATGCTGTCAGATACCAGAGCCTTATTTACCCTCCAAACTGCCCGAAGTGAAGTAGACTGGAAGGTCATGTTCTTCTGAGTTGTTGGTATTTGTTGTTGCCTGGTACAAAGGTAAGGGGGTGCGCTGCAGGAAACTGGGTGCCAGGGTGAGGTTTGGGCCCACCTTCATGTTGGATTTAAAGCTGCATTTAGGTAACACCTAACTGGTCTTGCTCCTCTTTCAGTCTTTGCCTGGACATCTCTCTATTGCTCTGCTCTCTCCTCCTATCTGCGTGTTTCTTGTTAGCATATGAGCACTGCTTGTGCTTCCTCTCCCAGTCTGAGCTCTGGTATACAGAGACTGCAGGAGGCTGATACCAAGTCAAATTCAGATGGTGGAAATGTTTGTCTTTTGAAGTGAAATTTTTATTTCCTTGAGTGAAAATATTTCCTCTCAATCAACTATATAGATTGCAGAGAATTTTTAGAAAACCTACTGTTATACTTTTGTTCTTTTGATATTGGGCTTGCTGGTATCTGCAATATTTTAAAATACTTAGGATGTATATTTAAAGTGTTACTAAACCCTGGACCCTGCATTCACTATATCTGGTTTCCCACAGTACGTGGAACATGGAAATGCAATTATTTTTGTAAATATAAACTGCTAAATACCTTTTTTTTTCATTAGCAGTTAGAGCAGTCATATAACTTCTATCAGTGTCCAGCAGAGCACTAGTTAAGGCTTGTAGGAGGAGTTTTCATTCTCCTCTGACCGTCTTATGAGGCTACAGGACCCCTGACCCTCTGTCTGGACAGTGCTGATTGGCCCTGTGCTGATCATATGCACTCTCCCAAGAAAAAAAAAATTCTCTAGGAATACACGCCCAACTGAGCATGTGCAGCTTGCCCCCAAGGCTTGTCCTATCAGGAAATGGATTGGGGACAGAAGTGGCGCAACAGAACTCCTTAGGTTCCACAGGGAGGATAACAAGCATGCTTTACTGCATATACAGACTGATTTTACTGCTGTGGGTTTAGTTTTTACCTTTTTAGTTTGAAAAAAAATGCGACATGCTCGAACACGCAAAAAAAAGAAAAAAAAATCAAGCTCAGAGACACCTCCTGGTGTGAAAGAGCCCTTAGATTGGTGTGCCCTGGGAATACACTGTTTTAAAAGGGTGCCTTGACTGCAAAAAGGTTGGAAAAAGCTGCCCTAAATGACAGTCTGTCCTCCTTAATCATGTCTCTGAAAGATGAAGTGGACTTTGCAATGCAGCAGTTCCTGAGGACAGGTATTTGGAAGTAGCAACATGCAGATGTATTGTGGTGGATGTGGGCAAATTGCCCAGCTAAGCAGTTAGCAAGTTTTGTAGGGCAATATACCTGATCTGATGAATGCCTTCAGTTTACTTTACAGCTTTAAAGCAGGTGTCTCCAAACTTGCTAAACAAAGGGGCAGTTTACTGTCCTTCAGACATTAGGAGGGCCGGACTGTGGCCAGTGAGAGTAGAAAATGCCTTATTTTTGGTATTATAGCTGGAATTGTTGGTGTTAGAGGAGGAATAGTGCCCAATATTGGCCTCAGTGAGAGGAATAGTGCCCCATTGTTGGTATCAATGTGAGGAATAGTGCCCCATTGTTGGCATCAATGTGAGGAATAGCGCCCTATCAATGGTGTCAGTGAGAGGAATAGTGCCCCATTGTTGGTATCAATGTGAGCAATAGCGCCCTATTGTTGGTGTCAGTGAGAGGGATAGAGCCCCATTGTTTGTATCAGTGGGAGGAATAGTGCTGCGTTTTTGCTGTCAGTGGGAGAAATAGTGCCCATCATTAGTATAAGTGGTAGGAAGAGTGCCCCATTGTTGGTGTCAGTGGGATGAATAGTGCCCCTTCATTGATGTCAATGAGAGAAATGGTGCCCCATCATTAGTATCAGTGGGAGGAATAGTGCCCCATCATCGTTGGTGTCAGTGGGAGGAATAGTGCCCCATCATTGGTGTCAGTGGGAGGAATAGTGCCCCATCATTGGTGTCAGTGGGAGGAATAGTGCCCCATCATTGGTGTCAGTGGGAGGAATAGTGCCCCATCATTGGTGTCAGTGGGAGGAATAGTGCCCATCATCATTGGTGTCAGTGGGAGGAATAGTGCTCCATTGTTGGTGTCAGTGGGAGGAATAGTGCTCCATTGTTGGTGTCAGTGGGAGGAATAGTACCCCATTATTTGTATCAGTGGGCAAAATAATTCTCTGTTTGAGTCAGTGGATGGAATGGTGCCCTAAGGGCTGGATAAAGGTGAGCAAAGCGCCGCATCTTGCACCCAGGCCATAGTTTGGAGACCCCTGGCTTAAAGGATCATCTTAGGGAACATGTTACATGTTTCACCTGGTTTTAGGGTAGAACATCTAAAATGTTACCAGTGGGGCAGCTGCCCCCCCTCCCTGTGACAGAAATACCGGGACAGGTTCCCCATACAAGCTGCCACTTTTTAAAAACCATATTCTGTGAATAAATGAATAGAGAGAAAACGGGGCGCGCACACACCTAGTGCATTATCCAAGGTTTATTGTAGGAGTGAAAGAATAATAAAAACATACTCACAGACAAAGCATGTATCTAAAAAGCATAGAAAAATGACAATGGCCTGAGGCATCAACAGCAAGGCTCTTACTTTCCATTCATCATTCATCAGCATCAGAGGTTGAGCATCAGAGGTTGGTCATCAGCTCTGAGGAAAGGGATTCGTCCCCGAAACGCGTCAGTAATTTGACCGCACTGACAGTGAGAACACCTTGCCCGCCATTGTGGCCATTGTCATTTTTCTATGCTTTTTAGATACATGCTTCATCTGTGAGTATGTTTTTTTTTATTATTCTTTCACTCCTACAATAAACCTTGGATAATGCACTAGGTGTGTGCGCCACCTGTTTTCTCTCTATCCAGTGGCTGATCTCCCCGTCTCAGGAGGGCTGCACCCCTGAAGCATTTCCTTTGGTTGTCGCTGTCCTGGTACCCTTGGCTTCCGTTTTGGCTGTGCATATCCTGAGGCGCTGGAGAGTACATACGATATCCGGTTGTGAATAAATGAACTACAAGTCCTGACAGCCTTAGCGGCTGCCTGCTTGTAGTTCTCAATAAACTAGCACGGCGCTGTGGAAGGCCGTGATAGTTCATTGAATCTTCCTGTGAGTATCTTTGCTTGCCTGTACATCCCGTACATGCAAGCAGACATACTGACAGGTCTGCAGGAGACCTGCATGGCACCAGCGATCTGCTGATAGCTGGTGCAATATGTTTACAGGCTCCTGCAACCAAAAATAATGAACGCACATTTTTTTTTTTACCTGCAAAAAAAATGTGCATATATTATTTTTGGTCAAAAAGTAAACTTATTCTTTAAAGTAAAACTAAAGGCAAAACTTTCATTTTGGTAGCGTAAGGAAGGCTTATAACCCTGTTAGTTTTTTTTTTTTCCCCATCTCTGTCCTATTTGGGAGATCTTCCTTTACCTCCTATCCCATAGCCAAAACAAGAAGTGTGGAAATCCCTGGTTGTCACCAGAACTAGAGCCTAATTGGAAGATTTCCCCTCTTTTACTGTTTTCTTTCACTCTTTCACTGTTTACTGTTTTCTTTCACTCTCATTTATGGTAACAGTAAACCCGACAAATAGAGGTATTCTAATACAGTCTATTCAAAATTGTAAAAGTTTTGCTTTTATTTATACTTTAACCATCTCCTTATATGATGGGCGGCAGTTCTATATGATGTCATATGATGTCCTCCCACTCTAACTGTGCATGTGCGCCCTCGGGGGTGTGCGGCGCGGTGATTGGTGGTGAGTTGTTTCTCTGATGATCAGTGTAGCCCCATCAGTGCCACTTGTCAGTGCACATCAATGCCACATAACAGTGCCCATCAGAGCTGCCAGTCAGTGCCGCCTAACAGTTCCCGTCAGTGTTGCCTATCAGTGCCTCCTATCAGTGCTATATGAGTGCTGCCTTTCAGTGCCACCTATCAGTGCCCATCACTGCAGCCTCATTAGCGCACATCAGTGAAGGAGAAAAATTACTTATTTAAATTTTTTTATAATAGAAACTAGGAAAAAAAATTTTTCTTTCAAAATTTTCAGTCTTTTTTAAAAAAAACCCCAAAGAAAGCTCTATCTGTCTCAAAAAAATGATAAAAATTTTGTTTGGGTACAGTGTTGCATGACTGCGCAGTTGTCATACAAAGTGCGACAGTGCTGAAAGCTGAAAATTGGCCTGGGCAGGAAGGGGGTAAAAATGCCTGGTAGGCAAGTGGTTAAAAGGTAACTCCAATTTTGTGGGAAAAAAAATTAGCAAATAAAAAAAAATATAATATTGAATATACAATTGCAATACATGTCGTATTGTAATTGAATGTTATAAAAAATTGCCTTACCTTTTCAATCTGCAGTGCTGTAATTTTCTGTAAAATGAATAATGCTACCTGGAGACATTCTGTACACAGATGCTGTACAGAACGCACCCAGATTTGAAATTTCCTGCTTGTGTGATTGGCTCACTGATTTTCTCAGAAGTCTGTACTAACATGCAAATCAGATTTTAAACATCACATGCATCAAAAATGTCATTTTTGGTGAGATACTGTCAAAGGGAAATCACATCTAAAGGGATGCAGACCATGCCAATTTCCTCATTAGAGCCCTGCAGGTGCAGCAGCTGATTAACAATTATAAAACCATTCCCATACAGCTTCACTCTGCACATGGACACAGACAAACAGCAGTTTCTTCAGAATAACAAAACGTAGGAATCTGTAACAAAGCTTGCAAAGTACATACAGTATCTCACAGAAGTGAGTCCACCCCTCACATTTTGTAAATATTTTATTGTATCTTTTCATGTAACAATGCTGAAGAAATGAGACTTTGCTACAATGTGATGTAGTGAGTGTACAGCTTGTATAACATGTAAATTTGCTGTCCCCTCAAAATAACTCAACACACAGCCATTAACCTCCCTGACGGTAAGATTATTTCAGATTTTTGGTGCTGAAAGCGGTACCTTTTTTTGCATGGAAATATGTATTTTTTTTTTTTTTATTGTAGGCCTGTAATTTAGGAATAACTCACTGAAATCTGTCCGAACAAGAGTCTAGTAAACATTCCGGATATGATAAAACTTGAAACACAAAATCATAAATTATAATTTAATAAATATTCATAAAAAATAATATAATAATAAATTTAATTCAATAATATAATCAAACCAAAAACACTGAAATTTGAAATATAGCGCCAAGTTCGCACATCGCTAAGCAAAGTCGCAGAATCGTTTTCAGTGTCTGATGACGAATTTCCCCCATGAATCATCACTCAATTCTGCAAGTGGTTCTTATTTACTATCTCTGTTCTCTAGCTGATCTAAACCGCTTTTGACGTAAAGGGACGCTTTTTGGATGCCATGGACTTTTCTAAGTTTCCAGGCAAAACGAACAGTCAAAAATGCAGGGGGACAGGACAAAGCACTCGGGACAAAAAGGATGTGAAATGTTTTGAAACAGCAATGTTTTACTATGTAATAATCATTTTTTTAAAAAAATGACATTTTAAAAAAAATTTCAAATTTGCCGCCAGTTCCGGTGCCCGTACGTCCCGACGTCACAGGGACCGGAACACGGAAGCCGGATGCCAGCATCGGCTGGAGGAGATGGCCGGGGACGCTGCAGGGGACGCATCGCGGGAGCGAAGGACAAGGTAAGCGCTGCAGGGACTCCCTATGTAACGCTGCATGGTAAGCCTGAGTGTAGCTCGGGGTTACCGCTTTTGGTATAGAAATTTTACCCCGAGCTACACTTGGGAATGCCACTAGGGAGGTTAATGTCTAAACCGCTGGCAACAAAAGTGACTACACCCCTAAGTGACAATGTCCAAATTGGGCCCAAAGTGTCAATATTTTGTGTGGACACCATTATTTTCCAGCACTGCCTTAACCCTCTTGGACATGGAGTTCACCAGAGCTTCACAGGTTGCCACTGGAGTCCTTTAACATCCACCAGCTTTGTGATGTCGTCATGGAGGAGTGGAAGAGACCTTGCGCTCCTCCACTTTCCATTTGAGGATGCCCCACAGATGCTCAATACTGTTTAGACCTAGAGACATGCTTGGCCAGTCCATCACCTTTACCCTCAGCTTCTTTAGCAAGGCAGTGGTTGTCTTGGAGGTGTGTTTGGGGTCGTTATGTTGGAATACTGCCCTGCGGCCCAGTCTCCGAAGGGAGGGGATCATGCTCTGCTTCAGTATGTCTCAGTACATGTTGGCATTCATGGTTCCCGCAATGAACTGTAGATCCCCAGTGCCGGCAGCACTCATGCAGCCCCAGACCATGACACTCCCACCACCATGCTTGACTGTAGGCAAGAGACACTTGTCTTTGTACTCCTCACCTGGTTGCCGCCACACACGCTTGACACCATCTGAACCAAATCAGTTTATCTTGGTCTCATCAGACCACAGGACATGGTTCCAGTATTCCATGTCCTTAGTCTGCTTGTCTTCAGCAAACTGTTTGTGGGCTTTCTTGTGTATCATCTTTAGAAGAGGCTTCCTTCTGGGATGACAGCCATGCAGACCAATTTGATGCAGTGTGCGGCGTATGGTCTGAGCACTGACAGGCTGACCCCCCCCCCCCCCACCTCTTCCAACCTCTGCAGCAATGCTGGCAGCACTCACACATCTATTTCCCAAAGACAACCTCTGGATATGACGCTGACCATGTGCACTCAACTTCTTTGGTCGACCATAGCGAGGCCTGTTCTGAGTGGAACCTGTCCTGTTAAACCACTGTATGGTCTTGGCCACCATGCTGCAGCTCAGTTTCAGGGTCTTGGCAATCGTCTTATAGCCTAGGCCATTTTTATGTAGAGCAACAATTCTTTTTTTTTTTTTCAGATCCCCAGAGAGTTCTTTGCCATGAGGTGCCATGTTGAACTTCCAGTGACCAGTATGAGAGATTGAGAGTGATTAACACCAAATTTAACACACCTGCTCCCCATTCACACCTGAGACCTTGTAACACTAACGAGTCACATGACACCCAGGAGGGAAAATGTCTAATTGGGCCCAATTTGGACATTTTCACATAGGGGTGTACTCACTTTTGTTGCCAACGGTTTAGACACTAATGGCTGTGTGTTGAGTTATTTTGAGGGGACAGCAAATTTACATGTTATACAAGCTGTACACTCACTACGTCACATTGCGTGAGGGGTGTTCTCACTTCTGTGAGAAACTGTAGAATACATCTAAAAGGGAGGGTCAAGTCATACAAAAGCCAATAACTGTAGGATGACGTGATGGAGAAAGTAAAAGGTAATTTGTTAGATGCAGGATAGGCCTCTCTGAAGAGATGGTTTGTCAGGGATCACCTAAAAGTGGGTAAAGTAGGAAATAGTCTGACAGGTTGAGATGAGAAGTTCTAGAGAGGCTCAGGAAAAGTCCTATAGGTGAGCATGGGAGGAGGACTTGGGAGCTAGAGAGCAGGAGGTCTTGGAAGGAACGAAAGGGAATGATTAGGTTGGTGATTTGAGATTAGGTTAGTGATGTAGTTGGGGGTAGAGTTGTGGATGGCTTTGTGTGTAGTTGTTTGCCTTTTTTTAATTTTATTTGTTGGGTGAGTGAAAGCCAATGGAAGGACTGCCAGAGATGGGTAGTGGACAATGAGCAGTTGGTAAGATGGATGAGTCTGGCAGGAACGTTTATGATGGACTTAAGGGGGTGGTAGCCTATGTAAAGGTAATCCAAAAAGGATTGAGTTTATTTTTTTTCTTGAAAGTTGTAGATTTAAAAATATTAAGAATGACACTTGAAATTACATTAACTTGTCAACATTTATATCAAAGTTTAGTTCAATATTTAGTTTAAAAACGATGTACCGCATTGGCTCAAACCAGAAGCTGCTCTTGCTTCATACTACTTTGTGGCAGAATAGCAAACTGCAATTTCTCTGACAGTCCCTAGGGGGCAGTAAAATCTTTTTTTACAAGCTAATGTGACAGTGTAAGCAGTTAGTTTATGAGGAGGAGGTCAAAAGAACCAAAAATCCTCAAATATTATTTTTATTCTACAGTTTGCTCAGCGCTTTACAATATAACGGGAGACAATACAGCAACAATACAGTTCAATACAAGAGGGTTAGGAGGGCCCTGCTCCTTGGTGCTTACAATCTAAGACGGAGGGGATAATAAAATTGCATTTCTTATTTAAAGTGGATCCAGCATCATACTGCCCAATGTTTATTCTTTAATTTTCATTTATTAAAGTTAATGGAAATAATCATACGAATAAACATTTATAACATTTCTACCTTTCCCTTACTAAAAACTCTTTTCTTTCCCATCCCACTATCCCACCCCTCATCCCCCCTCCTCCCCCTCTGCAGACTCTAACCCATTCAATCTCTTGAGGCTTGTTAATTTCTTTGCTAACATCCTAGTTCATATTTTCCTATATTTCTCTTTCAATCCTGCTCTTTCCCACTTTTCCCATCTCCTAAAAACTCTCATCCTATCTTCCTGCATATGGTATGATTTTTCCATTCTACCTATCTGGTTTACTCTATTAATCCAGTCTTCCTCCTTCGGTACCTCAGCTTTCCGCCAAAACTTGGGTATCAACCCTTTCGCCGCATTTTACCAGATACCTGAATCTTTATATTTATTTACAGATGTCTCCACATTGTGTAGGAGGCATCGTTGGGTCTAAGTCAATTTCAATTTCTTTAATCAATTTGACTATTAACTTCCAATCCCACCATATGTGAAACATCGTGCCCATCTCTCCGCATCCTCTCCAACAATATTTAAATTTTCCCCATTCATCTTGTGCTCTACACTTGGTGTAATGTGCCATCGTGTGACACACTTATAATTAACCTCAACCTCTCTCATACTAACATTATCGTGTATCAATCTAAACATCTTTCTCTGTCTATCTTCATCAAACCCAACTCCCATTCCCTTTCCCATTTTGTGATAAAAATTAACTTTGTGTTTGTGTCTAATTCTGTGAGTATTCTATACACTTTAGAAATACCGTGCTTCCCATCCCTACGTGTCTCTAACAACCTTTCCATATTCCACTCCTGTTTTATTCTCAGGGGTTTCGGTAGATTTCCAAAAAACATTTCAATTGATGATATTTCCACTCGTCTATTCTAATAAAAATATCTCCCTTCTTCTCTATTAAATCTTTAAGTGGTCTCAATTCCCCCTCCACCAATGCCCAATGTTTATTAAATACAAATCCAATTTGTTTCAATGTGGCTTGTTCACATTTATGTGCTGCATTTTAGTGCGTTTTTTTAGGGGGAAACTATATTTGGCCCCTTTTAAGTTTCAGTGCATAGTAAAAAAAAATAAATCAAGAAAAAAGTAGACACACTGGCAAAAAGCTGCAGAAACCTGTCCCCCATCCTACCCCACCCCTTAAAAAAAAAAAAAAGTTTACTGTATAAATTGGAAAAGCCTATATACAAAACATATTTTCTAGAGCCGTTTTCATCTATGGCAAAATACAGTGTGTGTGTGTGTGTGTGTGTGTGTGTGTGTGTGTGTGTGATTGTGTATATACACAGGTCCATATATATTTTGACAAAGGACACATTTTATATTTTTTTTTCTGGTATTTACCAAAACATATTCAAGCTATAGTTTATATAATAGACATGGGCTGAAAGTGTACACTCTCAGGTTTAATTTGAGGGTATGTAAATTCAAATTGCAGTAAGGGTTTAGGAATTACAGCTCTTAAGAATAGCCATCCCCCCCTTTTTTTCAAGGGACCAAAAGTAATTGGACAAATGAATATAATCATAAATGTTATTTTTAATATTTTGTTGAGAATCCTTTACTGGCAATGACTGCCTGAAGCCTGGAACCCATGGACATTATCAAAGACTGGGTTTTCCTCTTTTCTGATGCTTTGCCAGGCTCTAACTGCAGCTGTCTTCAGTTGTTCTTTGTTTTGTGAGTCTTTCTTTAGTTTTGCCTTCAGCAAGTGAAATGCATGCTCAATTGGGTTGAGATCAGGTGATTGACTCGGCCATTGCAGAATATTCCACTTATTTTCCTTCAAAAGCTCCTGGGTTGCTTTTGCAGTGTGTTTTGGATCACTGTCCATCTGTACTGTGAAGTGCCATCCAATCAACTTTGCTACATTTGGCTGAATCTGGGCTGACAGTATATCTCTAAACACTGCAGAATTCATCTGTCTGCTTCTTTCTTCTATCACATCATCAATAAACACCAATGACCCAGTGCCACTGGAAGCCATGCATGCCCATGCCATCACACTGCCTCCTTCATGTTTTACAGGTGATGTTGTGTGCTTTGGATCATGAGCTGTTCCAAGCCTTCTCCACACTTTTTTCTTCCCGTCATTCTGGTACAGATTAATCTTAGTTTCATCCGTCCAAAAAATGCTTTTCCAGAATGGGTGTGGCTTTTTTAGATGTTTTTTGGCAAAGTCTAATCTGGCTTTTCTATTCTTCAGGCTTATGAATGGTTTGCACCTTGTGGTGAACCCTCTGTATTTGCTCTCGTGAAGTCTTCTCTTGATTGTAGACTTTGACAATGATACGCCCACCTCCTGGAGAGTGTCCTTCACTTGTCTGGATGTTGTCAATGGGTTTTTCTTTACCATAGAGAGGATCCTGCGATTATCCACCACTGTTGTCTTCCGTGGACATCCATGCCTTTTTATGTTGCTGAACTCACCAGTGCGTTCTTCTTTTCTCAGAATGTACCAAACTGTGGATTTGGCCACTCCTAATGTTGCTGTGATCTTTCTGATAGATTTGTTTTTGTTTTTGAAGTCTTACAATGGCCTGTTTCACTTGCATGGACAGCTGCTTTGAACGCATGATGTAGGCTCACAGCAATAGATTCCAAATGCAAACACCACACTTAGAATCAACTCCAGACTCCAACTCCAGACCTTTTACCTGCTTGATTGATGGAGTAGCCCACACCTGGTCATGAAACAGCTTTTGACTCAATTGTCCAATTGCTTTTGGTCCCTTGAAAAAGGGGGGATGGCTACTCTTAAGAGCTGTAATTATTAAAAACTTCTACCAATTTGCATGTACATACCCTCAAATGAGTGTGCACTTTCAGCTCATGTCCATTATAAAACTATAGCTTGAATATGTTTTGGAAAATATCTTAAAAAAATTAAAATGAGTCCTGTGTCCAAATAGATATGGACCTAATTGTGTGTTTTTTTTTTTTTGAACATTCACATCAGTCCCTGTCCTCAAGGCGCTTGCAATCTAAGGTCCCTAACTCACATTCATACATACACATACTAGGGCCATTGTAGACAAGAACCAATTAACCTACCAGAATGTCTTTGGAGTGTAGGAGGAAACTGGAGTACCCGGAGGAAAACACGCAGGCACAGAGAGAACATGCAATCTCCACGTAGGTAGTACCATGGTTGGGATTCAATCCTACGACCCCAGTGCTGTCAGGTGGAAGTGCTAACCACTTAGCCATTGTGGTCTTAAAAGTAGGGACACAGAGAAAGGAGGGGGGAGAAGCACAAAAAAGGGACAGAGTATGGAGAGGAGGAAAGGGGGGGACTCCAGGAGTATGGTTGCTCAGAAATAGGAAGGTAAGTGAGCGTGCAGCCAGGGACACCTCAAAATAGAGGTTCCATCTAGTCGGGTACTTAGGTAGGTTAGGAATGTAAATTGGTAGAAGGTGTATCCGGGAGTGGTCTGTTCATACCATAAACACTGGTTTAATATTTGTAGGTGTCAGTATGTTTTCCCTGCACATTGCTGACTGCGCTCTGTACTGGGAATGCTAAATGGAACAGACACACATATCTACATCCTGGCTTGCTGGTCATCCCAGTCCTCTATTCCCTAGCTCTAGGGTGCACATAGCTTTGTGGAGACTCACAATGAGGGAACAGAAAAAGGAAACCAGGTTGTCCACTTTCTTTATGAAGTCTAGGATAGGATGCTCTAGAGTCCACAGATGTTGCTGTTCCAGAAACACTTTTCATAGGTAATCCATGCATATTGTCCAAACAGTTTAGCTACTCTGGTGTATCGAGTAAAATGAATAT